GATGAAGTCATAACAGCACACCAACCCGCGGGGCGAACAACGAACAACTTGCCAACCTGATTCAACACTAGATGAGGGATCGGTGACGTTTCTAATCAGACAACGGAACTGAGATACAGAAAAATAAGTCAGAATACAGATGTCGGATGATAATATAAATATACTGTAAATGTATGGTAGGATATATGTATATACGTATATAGATATATATGGTAAAAAAAGATAAACAAAAATAGATACGATGTCATTAAATAAAAAACACTTTAACTTTAAAAATTTTAAAAAGGCTTTAAACTGGTTGAAATTTTACAGAAACAAAAACAATTAACAAAAAACACGTGATTGACAATCAAAAAATATTATGTAGATTTAGCTAATCATTATAGATACATACATACACTATTGTCAAAAAATAATGAATAGAACAAAAAATATGGGACTCTCTTAATAATAAACATATAACATACGTATGATCGCATTTGTGAGGCCAAACAAAGCAAAAAAATATTAATAACTGGACATATATAGTTATTTGTATAAGTGCAGTGTATGATGTAAGATGTATTTACACGTATCACCTAAGTTAAATATTAGTCAATATTTCATAGTGGTGGAAAACAATAAACTCTAGTAAAATTTCAATCAATTAAACCATAAAAAAAGGAAGGTAGTATTTAAATAATAAAAAAAACGAATTACAGTGAATATTGTTTAGGATGGCATATTGAAAATGTTAAAAAAAAAGGAAGGGGGTAATGTAACGATTGTTACATACATATATTGTATTAACAWGATATGWACAATAGAAACCTATATTATACTATATAATATATATCAATATCATATACATAACATAAATATTATGCTGAATATATATTAAGCCTTTCCTGTTCCGTAATATAAATAATAAAATATATTCAAAAGAACTATAACTTCTTCCTGAATATCTTATATTTAACGGGTCATCCCCGACCACGTTACAAACTTTTTTGGTTTTTTTTTTCCATAAATATCGATACAATTTTAGTGGTTGGTTCAAGGTTAGGTTAGATTAGGTTAGGTTATATTATCCGGTTTCATGACTTTCCATCTGACACAGTTGCTCAGTGGTCATGATGGGTGCTTCGGAACATTCCTACAGAGAATTGGCAAGGAATCGACAACAGTATGCCATCACTGTGGAGATGAGACGGATGACGCTGAGCGCACAATTGTTCCTATGCACGAGTTGGGAAGAGGAGCGAGCCGAGGTGKTACGCGTTATCTGTGAATTTGATCCAGAATCCGTGATCGGAAAGATGCTAGCCGCTCCCGAATGCTGGAAAGTGGYGTCCAGATATGCAACCAGAGTCATGCTACAGAAGGAGGATGCAGAACGTATAAGGAGGGGAGAACCTCAGCGCGGCGCTACAACTTAATTAAGTGTATTTTACTGTGGCCCGAAGGGCAATMTAGAAGGGATATAGCCCTTCATGATTGTTAATTTGTTGTTATTGTCTTTTGAGGACAAGTGAGCGGGAGATTGGTCTGCCTCTGTCCAGCTATATTATATTGTATGGTTATTTATTTATAAACGGCACTCGGAGAATCAATCTCCTCGTCCACGCCGCCTTCGTAGTGAGGTTCCACAGGCTCTGCCATTCGCGCACTGTAACCTCTCGTTCCTGCCTCCTGGTGACTGCTGTCGTCGTGGCCTCTTGCTTGTGACCCTCAAATCTTAGTCCGTGCTRTTTACTACAACCATCACCTAATAATAATAATAATATTGAATTGTGTTAGCTGTAACCGTGGTATAATCCGCCTAATTAACCAAAAAGTCATTATACCCATTCTATATTTCYTTCTGTCAAAAAATACWCAAGTCTCAAATTTAATGTACAGTACTAGTGTACTACAGTGTGCATCGCCATCGTGGTTTGTAAATTGTATTTCCGAAGTCGTATTTCACGTTTCGTTTATGTTTTTTTTAGTGCTGTTCATATTACGCCGTTCAAACTGCTACTTAATAATGTTATAATCGTTGGCTATATTGTCTAACAAACTTGAAAAGGTTTGCTAAATATGACTACAGGTAATAACGTTATACATATTTATTACCTAACAATAAACTATTATTACTATTTATTATATTTTATAAATCTAGTTTAATATTTAAAAAATTTTTTTAAATTTTTTTCATTCTAACCAATATTATTATKTTTAGTTATCAATTGTTATTTTTAAATAATTAAGTAAATGTTTGTACATCTTAAAAAAAACATAACTTACCTTAAAATTAAAATATAATAAAACGCTTACGAGATGCCTAGATATAATAATTTATGTCTTATAATAATGTTACCTTTAATTTTTATAACAGGTCATTCCACTTTAGTTTGAGAAATTAATATGGTTCTAATCATTGTTGTGAACATAAACTTTTTTATGTTGCGTGTGGGTCAAAGAGAGAGGGATAACAAATACTACGCAAATATCCTCTTAATTATTTAATTTGTGGTATACCTAATTTGTTAAAAATTGAATTTTTTAGTATAATATGTTCAAATTGAATTTTTTAGTATAATATGTTCATTTTTAACTTTGGTGTCTATAGTTTTGCTAAATATTTAAGAAATCAAAGTATAGGTACTTAATAAGCTTTCTGTTTGATTAATTAATTGCATTTGTGTTTAAAAGTAATTTAAAATATTGGCCACCTATATCTATTATTGCATTTTAAATTTGATTCTTTTTTTAAATTTTTTCAATATTCAATTATTGTGTCGGGMATTATCTTGTTTTTAGGATACCCAGACCTTTTTCTAAATTCCATAAACTATCAAACAGAAGTAAAAGAAGGCGTGTAGTGGTCGAAAATCAGGATTGTTCTTATATTTCTTCAGATAGCAATAATTCTTCAAATAATGATAACAATAAACAATTAAATACTTCAAATGAACAGGATGTTATAAATGTACCTATAAATTTACTCAACCAGACACTTTCAAATTATTGTACTAACCAAAAAGTGAAGTTCTCACATCGTTAAAAAAYTGTTACAATATACAATATACATAGAACATTATAGGTATACTAGACCTAATTATTAACTATTATTTTAACAATTTGAAAGTACCCCAAAATATTTGAAAATATTAAATGGATTAATCTTTTAACATGGTAAATGACTAGGTAATATTTTACCAATTCATGGTTTAAAATATTACCATTACCTAAATATATTAGAAATCAATAATCCTRTACCTAGTCCTACAATTATCAATAATCAGTCAGTACGTCTCTAATCATATACCTCAGTACACAAATAATTAATATCGTTCCATCTTTTATATAACACTATTTAATAATCAGATACATAGATATGTATAATATCAATATTYTAGTAACCAAAATATATAATATATATTTCTATTACCGAATCAAACATTTTTTATAATATTACAACACCACTATGATGTCAGCTAGCAGCTTAATGATGGAAAGTTATCTAATTCAATCGATGGAATGGATCACGATGTAGAGAAAAGGAAGTAGGTATTAGAACATATTATATTTTTATACTTTCAGGAAATGTATCGATGGGATGGGGAGAGACAAGGTTGGAGATGTATGTGATAGACATTGAGGGCAGGGTATGATATGGTATGTAATAGGCATAGGCATAGGCATATATGAATAGATAAGAACCGGGGGGGGGTATGTAACTTATAGGTATGGATGGGAGGGTAGGGGCAGGGCACGTAACTGATAGGCATGGATCGGATTGGAGGGGGCACGGCCGATCATGGTCGCGAAAGCATAGCTCTATAGGCTGGGATTTATGGGATTTGTGGGGTACATAGAACCGACCAAAACATACTACTTATATTACCTACATAATATCTCGATTGCAATATAGTACAATATTAAAATGTATGTTTTGAATTGGTAATGAGTCGGGTGGATGATTTTTTACAAACTTTTTTAAATCGTTGTATGAAATGATCGTTATTAGAAAAAAATATATAATTTCACAATAGGTACACGACGAATGACGACGACGGTTTAGTATGCGTTTAACGTATATTTTATAATAGGTATACATTTGTTTAGGTACACAATAATAATGTGTAAAGTACATTCAATAAATTATAAACACGAAAATCTGCAATGACTAAAACAAACACACACCACTTGCTAAATACGTTGAGTGTATTTATACTTTATAGGTTTCGTAATTGATCGTTATAAGTATTCCAAGAATAGGACGTTGTTAAATTTGTTTGGTTGGTCTGTTTTCACAATTACGGTCGTCGAGTGCAGGTTGATTGCAATAAGTATAACGAGTCGATCCGGACATATGCAAACAGAAATGTAGTACACACATGATCAAGCAGAGTAAATTGTCCTAAGTCCTTCTGAAAAAAAAAAAACCGAACGAATAATAATAACATAATCAAAAGATTAGCAAATGTTTGTGGGTAAATCTAATTTAAATAGTTAATCATATGTAAATAACAATCGCGCTTGTCAGTTATACAACGGTGCCGTGACTCCRTTATATTGCACAAATTATTTAAGTATAGATGTAGTATTATATTCACAGTATTCGGTGTCGAACATTTTCTTTTTGATGATACTAATATGAACGTATCCGCTGCAACAGTCCTGCTGTTTGTGTTTCAGTTGATCCATTACGGTCTGTATAATAATTAATACCTAATATGACCTATTAGAACACACTCGTATTCGATTTCACRTCTGACACATAATATTGTGTCGATAGACAGTATCGTGATAACCGTAAGAATGTATTACGGATTTCGATCACGATTTGATCGTTACGATAATATGATGACATATAGATAACTATTATACATAAATATGAGACTTGTTTAATGCAATATTATATGATTATAGATCGAAGAAATCGTTTGTGATTTTTTCTTTTATCAAAAGAAAACACCTTATTTAAAAAAAATATTTTATGACATTTRATATTATTATCATTTATCACATTCTAGCTCAGTTTCTAATATTCAAACAAAAAAATGACGACACTTCGAATGATCTGAATGACAGTTCTCGAGAAGAGAATGAAACATTATTTATCAATGGATCAAAATTGGATTTCCTCTATTGTAACTCGTACGTATACATGCACTTAGGTGTAGTTGTGTTTAATTTTAACACGTTATATCACGTTTATAATGTCAAAACGAAAAAAAAAACTAGGTACACAATAATATAATGATATCAAAATTAAACAAAT